ATACTTTTTATGGCTCTTATTTGCAATATTAAAGAAAGATGCCGTCGTTGAATGAAATAGAAATAGTAGTAATTAAGTCTGGAAGTTGAGGAGTGAATGCTGGCATACAGGTCCATTCACTAGTTAACAAATGAACTAAAAAAAAACATAATAAATGAATGGCTTGTTGCTTTTTCTCAGTGTATGATTGTGTATGTATGTATATGGTATATATTTTTAAAATGCAATAAAGCTCAACGCGCCAATTTGTAGGCAATTAAATTTTATTTTCGTGTAGGAATTTTGATACGCGCTCGGACTCTGACGTCCGGGTTCCGATAGAAATTTGTATTTGCTCGGACATCGAGCAGCGGGCAGCGGGCAGCGGGCAGCGGGCAGCTCGAACATTGCGATCAACATGATCGCCGATGATTGGGCTTATTATTGTTTACATTGTCATATTTACCAAATGTGTGTGTGTTTTTATTGTTCTACACGATTCGTTGAAGGCAGATCTCCTCTCTCGCTCTCGCTCTCGCTCTCTCTCATTCTGGCTCTGTGGGTCGATAAATTGGAGTCTATTTGTTGCCACATGCCTGGGCGAATGATACTTTGTTTATTGGCACGAATTGGCCAAATAAATGCAACATCATTTCTGTGGTAAATCATTTGAGATTGAGGCGAACCTTGAACGGGGGCGAGGGCTCAAGTGGTCTTTGCTCGTCGCTGCTACATTTCTAAACGCAAAATCGCATCCACTTTGCAATCATTGCAATTGATCTTCAGTCTCAATCTCAACAGCTGCAAAATGCAGACATAAATTCCAGTTCAGGCCAAGTGTTCCATCAAATTGAAGCTTTTAAGTCTCCTGGCTGAAGTGCTTTCGTTCTAATTTGCATTTCGACTGGGCCAACAAATGCGCAATTAGCCGCTATTACATTAATAATACGCGTACTTGTCCAGCCCCAATACCCAATAGTCAATAATAATTGAAACTATTTGGTAACCAGCAAATGGAAAATGGAAAATCAAGAAACCGAAAACGAACACAAAAAACCAAATTGAAATGAATTGAAAACCGCACATTGGCCAAAGTGAATAGGCAGGCACTTAAGAGCTCAAAAGTAAGCACCACAAAGGCCAACTGATTCAACTGCAACCACCCCATCGTATTCCCAATGTACCCAGGTCTCTGCTGACCTTCACCCGCAATCACAGTCTGCGTGGAAAGAGAGAGAGACAGTGGGAGAGAGAAAGTGAAAAAGCTACATCAGACAACATTGTCTACGACAAGAATTTCATTAGCGAGCCATAGAAGCTGAACAGAAGTTGGGATAGGCAGATATTGGTGTTCTAGTTGGAGCAAAGGCTTAAGGTTTTCTACTTTAGCGAGAATGAGAATATATGAATGAGAGATAGGTATGGATAGAGATGGGTAGAGAAAAAGAGTTAGAGAGAAAAAGAGAGGCAGAAGACGAGCGAGAGATAAAGAGAGACAGCTCAAACATCTATCATAATTCAGAGCATGATTACGGCTGTCAGCTATAAAGTAACACACAGGGAGTGCGGGCGGAGCTCTACTTCGAACAAGTTTGCAAGCTTTCCCCAACTAATAATAACAATCAAGCTTATTCATCCATCATGCACTCTTAAATTAGATTTCGTTCGAGTTAGATCTCTGGTTGCATTGGCGCCGGTGGCAGGCAATTGGAAACCGTGGACATGTTGGCAGGCACAGGCGATCATCTGATCATCTAATCATGCGTGTGGCTTTGTTTATAAGTAACGCCTGCGTCGGCTACTACTTGTCGCCCAGACAGGACATAGGACACGGCTGCACTTGAGCTGTGCATGTTGGCAGGACATAGTGAAATATGTGTGAACCTTTGGCTCAAGTGGCACAGTGGCAGCGTGGCACCGTGTCAGCGTGGCGGACATCAATTGCTTCAATATTTTGACCAGTTCGTCAAGTGGGAAGGTGGCTCTAATTGGTTGGTGGTCAACTGTCTGCAGCCCGCTGCCGCCAAGCCATGTCTAGACTGCTGGACCAAGTTGTTTATTTTGATTTGCACCACAGGACACACGGCGGTTGCCCACAATTGCGACATAGCCAATGACAATGACAATGACGATAACAATGCTTTGTCGCCCCTGAGTGGAACTGCCCGTCGAGTCGCGACAACTAACTGGGACGGCGACGGCTAACTGAGACCACACAGGAGATACCAAAAACTATCTGAACTAAATATGGGAACTTAACTTTAAATGACATATATTTTATTATTTAAATTAACATTCAAGTTAAGTTTAAAAATAGATTATTTACTAATATTTGAATACTATTATATGCCCTATTGGCTAAGTACATTTCTTTATTATCAATCATATACCGTTATATATATTCAATGGATTTCAGCAGCTACAGGGCGACAATGAGCGAGACATACGACAATCACACTGCTTTAACGCCTCTGCTTGCATCCCGTTATCCTTATTGTCCACGTCGCACGGATGTGTTTGAAGCTAATTGTGCTAAATATATTTAACTTATGTTTGTTTATGTGTTTGTTACGGAAGTGCCACACATAAAGAATTAAATTCATCAAAATTGCCTGTGATGTATGTGTGAGAGGGAGAGCGAAACAGTTTGACATTGCCTGCAATGCTTTTGATCCCGTTACCTTAATTGCGTATTAAGCCAATTGCGCTTAGGCATTTGTATATAAGGAATCTATTGGCTACAGAGCTTTCTTGCTGGCAAAAAAATGGCGAGCAAAGTGGGAGAATGTGAGAGGGAAAGAGAGGAAGTGAGCGTATAAGAGTGCTGTTGTCTTCTATTTCTAATTGATATCAAATTGAGATGAAGTGAACCCAAGAAATAAATATATACATATGTACACATGTGTATATGTATATACAGGTGTATTTATGTATGTATGTATGAATGAGTTGAATTGAACAATTTCGCTTACAAGATCAATGGGAAGTTTATTTGCCCAGACTCATTCAATTGCCTTAGTAGTTCATTTGCTCAGGCTAGTTCAATTATAGTTCGCCATGCAACGTAGCTGGTTCCAAGCAAGTTTCTCCAGTTTACTTCCTTAGACTCAAACAAATTTCGGTAGGGAACGCCACACAAATATGGAAAGCCATATTTCAAACAAGCAAATCGCTCAAGAACAACAAACAATAGAACTGGGGGCTCCACCGCCAACCGCAACATCGCTATACGACACATCACGGGGCACGTTTAATGCACTCTCCATGCAAGCCCATAAAATCCCTGTCACTGTTTGTGTCGCTCCGACTCCACAGCAGCCCCATCAGGTGTTGCCACGCCCCCGCCCATTTGATGCTAGAAGCTGAGCGAATTGTTTATGCTACTTTGCGAGCAATAAAAGTCGAGGAGCATACAGCGCAGCAGGCCATGTGGGTGGTCTAAACCCCCAACCCCACCCAGTTGCTGGGTTATGTAAATGCCGCAAGAGCTAATCACCCTCAACTCTTCGAAGGCGCTCGTGTGGCATTAATCAAGGCATTGTATTTGTGCAACGGCCGTGGCATGTCCTTCCATAATCCCTGTGGGAGCCAGCGCAGGAAGTTGAGTGAGAACTGAAATCGAAATTGAAATTGAAATTGATTTCTGATAGAGGCCAACCACTTGTAAGTGTCCAAAAATTGTGAGACTCAAGTGGAGCAGCAGCTTCTACACAATAATAATAATAATTATGCGACTTAATTGTCTCATTATGTGGCGTTATCTACGAAGCAAAGGCCTCGACTTGGCTCTGGGAAGTGCTCCCACTCAAGTGGATGTTAAAGCTGATCTCGCCTCTGCCTCAGCTTCGGCTGCAGTTTGTTGACCTTTGACGGGCTTTGGGTGCTGGCAGTGTTTGCCCTCAGCAGAAATTGGCGTTTGCTTTGTTGTTTCTAGTTGGCTTTTTATTTATTTTCACTTGTCAATAAAATCGACATCATTTGCATTTTGATTTGTGCGCCTCGCATCAACATGGAATGAAAACAAATCGATCGCTAAATCGTTCCTCATTTCGCAAATTTGCCAATATTCATATTTACGTCTTCATAATTCATAATTTGCACTCAGTTCTTGCAGTTTTACGATTTTATGTGCCGCGTCCCTCCACGATTTCTATTTTTATGGACCAAATACTAAACAGAAGCGAAGTCCGTATAAAAATCGGGGAATTCCTACTAATTTTTGAGATTATTGCCACGAAAGCTATAGGGCTTTTAACTCGCCTTTAAAACAAATTTTTAATTATATATAAGTTTTTTTTATATATAAATAAATTTTTTTTTTTAAATTTACATTATTTGGATTTTGACGGTTAATTTTGGTTTGTGCTTAGACTAAATTGGATTGCTTTATTTTGGTGTGTAACTTTACTAGGCCACAGCAAGCAGTTGCATTGTTTATCAATAACCAGTATATTACTCAGCTTTTCAGTATTTAGATTGGGCACGAACCAAATGCACTGCTTAAATGTTGTGAATATAAGCAGTTCAAAATGTAGCATGGGCAAAACCAGTATTCTTATAGACACAAACCAATTGTGTTTGCTTGAACGTAAGCAGTTTAAATTCTATGTAGGTAATGGAGTGTCATACATTTTATATGGCCACTGCATGCCAGACACTGTATATATTTTTGTGAAATATACTGTAAAAACTTGATAATATGAACAATTATTTCCAATATTATCTTAAACTTGAGTTACATTAATTGTAGAAAATAGACAAATTTATATATTTGCGTTACGAATCTAGAAACTAAAGTTTATTTAAATTGCAAAAACTTATAAAATACAAATATGTTAACACAGTAAATACTCCTCTATACACACTCTTTAATATAGGTACACTTATAAATTATGTTTATATAGACACGAATCACAAGCAACTAATACGAAATTTAATACTCTACAATTAGGAAAATCATTAAAAAGAAAATTGTTTTTCCAAACATTAAGTTTTTTTTTTGGCAAATTAGAAGTCGCGCGAATGTGGGTGTGTGTGTGTGTGTGCGAGTGTGTGTTTCACTTTAGCAATTTACAAATTGGGCTAATCTTCAGTTAATGTAACTCCGGCTGGGGGTAGAGCAGCTTCCCATCAGAGTAGCGCATCAGGGTCATCATCTTGAGCATGCGCAGCTCCTCCTTATCCCGGCTGCTGCTGCCACTGGCGCCGCTAGTGCTTTGATGGGGATGCTGCGGGGGCGGGCGATCTGCTGACTGGTCGGGTCTTTAAAATACTCAAGTCATTAACATTCTCTAAAAAGCTTTTGTTCGCTGACAATTGTTTCACGCTCTGCACATCCTTTTTCAGCTCCTCCATGTCGCGTTTCAGCTTGGCGCGTCGATTTTGGAACCAGGTGATAACCTAAGTGCAAAGAGAGAATCAGTTTAATGAAGCCGCAAACTATAATACACTCAGAGAAATTCGAGTTATTTACTTAAATTAAGGTGGAAGACTTGCTGAATTTATTGACAATATTAATTTTATTTATGGAGAGCATTCATTATTCTACAATTCCTGGAGTTTCCCGAGTGTATGCACTCATAATTCGTGTCAATTTCAGTTTGAATCATGCTTTAACAAATTTCTTTATAAATTTGTAACTTTAAGTGCTAAAAATATATCTGAGTGCATGTAATTTCTTTATTGTTAGTCCTAATTTCTCCCACAGCACTCTTGCCTTTCTCTGAGTGTACGCATCTCATCAGTTTCATGATTAAATTTCAATATACTCACCTGCGCATTGGATAGACCCAAGCCGGCGGCGATCTCATCTCGATCTGCGGGCGAGAGATACTTCTGATAGAGGAAACGTTTCTCCAGCTCAAAGATCTGTTGATTCGTAAATGCGGTGCGAGACTTGCGCTTCTTCTTCGGGTTCGATCTGGTCGCAAAGATGTTCAGCGTGGCGGGATCTGGAAAGTGTGAAATACATCATAAATTATGACTGGATGTGGCCAGAGTTCTTATTATGGGCAATACAAAACTGAAAAAAGGTTTTCGAGCGAAACAAACTATTTAAAGTTTAAGTGCGTCTATTAAGGTTTTATCTATACAACCATTATTTAAAGACTCTTGTTCCACTTTCAATTCATGTCTAGTTAAAACAATTTCAAAGCGAAATCGAATTCATAATAGAAACCGCCTCCCCCGCTACCCCCTCATAGAAAGGGCGTGGAATTTGTAGCTTCTTTGTTTTATATATATATGTGTATATAGCTTGTGCTTGATGTGGCCGATCATCAATTTTTTATTACCCGATTCACTCGATACTCTTCTTTCTCTTCTATTTTATAGCTGATTTCCTTTATTGTTGTTTTCTTAAGCGTTTCGCTGCGGATTGTTTTGTTAGCATGTTTGAAGCTAATAGATGAATGCCTGGGCGTCATATTTAAGCTTTGTTTATTTATTGACCCACGTATCTGGATGAAATGTTGCTGTTGGCTTTTATTAATGCATAAATTGTGCCCCAGACATCGGCCTGAATGAACGCAACCAAATGAACGGAAATGGCGCTGCGCGTCTTTTTGGCAATGGCTGTGGCACTGTCTGTGGCAGCTGGTTGCCTTTTGAAGCCCTCCTCAACAGCCTCAACTTGTTGGTAAGCAACGAGGAACAATTAACAATTGAGTACACGAGCAGCTAAGGGTTGCTGCTCATTTAACCCAAAGCCATTTTGACGCCCTTGTGATGTGTTTATTCCCAAGTTCATTTATCTAGAAGGAAGGTCGCTCCAACACGCCCTTTACGAGTCGCGCTGCCGGCTGAAGGAAGCACGCACATTAACATTGCTGTTGATAAGCACATATAGTTGTATATTATATAAGGAAAGCCATGTATAAAGTATGATAAACAAAACATATTTGATCTGTGAAAGTTTATGAATTTGTATGACGTTCATATGCTGATCAGTATCAATTAAGAAGAGAGAGGGAGTGGTTCATAATATATGCTATAATATATGAAGAGTTAGTCAACTAATGATAAGTATCACTAAATACAGGCAACATAAGAATTGACATAATATGGAAACCTTTAACTATAGGTAAAGTCAAGTGGCAAATGCAGAAACATATAAGAGAGACCTACCACCAGTGAAGGTATATATAGGTAGGGCATATTCCAGGTCACTATCAAGATGCGAGTCTCTATAGTCAGGTTTGACATGCAAACATCAATGCAGTGAGTAGGGGAGAGAGATTTTAGTCTATAGCTTTGTTATATAGCGACTGTACTGGAACCTCATATCAATCTAGTGTTTGCCAAAAAAAAACGGAGAAAGAAACGTTGCCGCTAGTTGCCAATTAAACTTTTGGCCGATGCAGTACGCCTACTGCTGCCAAAGCTGGCAGCAAGCCACGCCCCTCATTAGAGACTTTGCGCGGCTGCACTTACAGTTACATTTGGCTGTGCGTGCGTGTGTGTAAGTGTGCGTGTGTTGGCCATTTGTTGCGCTTTATTAATTATGACCAAGTCGTGCTTTAAGCCACAAACTCACAGCTCAAATTGGCCAAATGAATTATGAGTGTGTGTGTGTGCGAGTAGGCGCGAGTGGGAGTGGGTGTGGCATGTGCAGAACAAACAATGTCATCAGCATAACTAATCATAAAGACAGCCAACTGACAGAGGCAGAGAGGGGCAGGGAAAGGGAGGCACAGACTAAACTGCTGCTGCTGCTCGGCTGCTCGCTCCAAAATAAGCATAAGTTATGCCAACTGCCCAGCGTAGCTAATTGAGAAAACAAACTAAACAAGCACGAACTTACTGAAGCACGGTTCACGAACTTCAAATACACTTCCCAGATACTATATAGAGTATATACCACATGGACTATATACTGCATAGGGTGGTCAAACAATGGAGAAGTACTGCGAGAGCTATTTAAACATTGTCTGAGACTTACCTCGCAACAGCTGAGCAGGGTTAAGATAACTAAAAATCAACTACTATTACGACTACTACTATTATAACTACTATTACTACTACATATAGATATATATGTGTATATATTTATACTGCTATATATCAATAGTATATACCCTTTATAGTAGGGTATAATGACACTCTGAGTAGGAGGAAGGTAGAAGGAAGAAGGAAGAAGGGCTTGGTTCAGCTAGTTCGCCCCATTTCTAACTGACAATCGCATGTATTGTATTGTATATATATATATATATAAATATATACATATAAATATATATAAATGTGTGTTTATATATAGTATGTGAGTTTCGTGCCTTATCGTGTCGATCAAACATTGGCCATTAGGCGTTGGCGGTAATTAGTTAAATTAAGTAGCTGCAACGTGCGCGCAAACAAATTGAAGACAATTCATTAAAGGCAGACCACACTGTATAGGTACAGGTACAGGCAGGGCAGCAGCTGAGCTGATCTCCAAAGAGTGTCAAGAGGGGGAAAAGAAGAGCGGCACGCAGGCAGCTATTATGTTAATTACGAATCGAGAGCAGAGAAAAACGTTTCAATTAAAGCCAGCCACAGATCAATCAGGCATCGAGATCGACTCTGGCTGCAATCAGGCCGCCGGCTAATCCGTAGCTAAAAGCCTCGAGGAGCAGCATCGAAGTGCTACCTAAGATCTTTATCGAAGCTAGGAAAAGTGTTCTGCTTTCACATGGCACAAGGTGCTCTTTCACACGCTCATCAAATGTGTGGAGGAGCGCGAGATTGTAAGATGAGCTGCGAGGTTCGAATCCCGCATGACTCGAGGAATTTGTTGCGTGTGTGTGTGTGTCGGCAACGGAAGACTCAATTAGAAGCCGCTTGTGAGGATTTATGAGCAAAAGGAATTTGAGCAGCACCGCGGTCAGCCTGGCTAAATAGCTGCCAATAGCTTTATAAGTTTTGCCGACAAACGCAGCAGAACTTATGACAAACCGCCGACCTTCGAATGGGATGCAAAAGAGCGAGTCGCAGCGACAAAGAGCTGTTTTTTTTGGCTAAAAGCGTTAATTACACGCCCCTAGCCCCCGACGGGTGCAGAGCCCAGAGCCCCAATTCTCAGCCAGCCACAAATTGCGTTGTCCAGAAGCTCGAAAGCGTAATCAAAAACTAATTTTAATCCTGTTTGGGGCCACGCTGATGAGGGATCAGATTAATGCGACGCACTCACGAAGCGGGAGAGGCGGGGGAGCCTCAGAGCGATGGAGAGAGAGGCAGAGCAAGAGCTAAGGCAAGACAAAGGCAAACGGAACTCGGGCTGCCTCGATCGCCGATCAGTTTTAGCGGTAGGTCCACGTTAATTTATTCTAAATGGCTTTTTGAAATCTCCCGAAACAACGCACAGAAATTTACTTATGACGTTCGCAGCGCAGTCCAAATTCAGCAATCAAAATGGGGAATGCCTGACTGGATAGATGCCCAATAAACTGGTGAAGGTATGAAATTGGTAAAACTTTTCAAGGCATTTTTAAAGTTGAAATATTTCTTTTGATAATCGGATTGTTTGCCAGATTAACTCAATACCTTGCAAATAGCTAAGAGTTGATAGAAGTTGATAATCTATGTATTATGCTATATATATTCTATATATATATATCTATTCAAATATCCCTCTCTCTATCGAATCTCTGCAGAAACTCAAATTGCAATCACTTTAAGGCAGCATATAGGGTATATAAACCTGTGACAGAGAGAGAAAGAGAGATTGAGGAATACAGAGAGGTAAAGGTAGCTGCTGCTGATGCTGATGATGATTCAGTCGAATGGCAGGCCGCGCTGCATACCTTTTCTCACTTTTGGCGTGTCTGCGTGTTGTTAGCAACGAAATTGATGAGTTCGAGCAGGTTATAAAACTCGATACCTTTTGGCTACCTTTGTTATGGCTACAGCTATAGCTACAGCTATAGCTGTTGTTGTTGTTGCTGTTATTGCTACCAAACAGCCGAAATACAATAACACACAAATTAATATAAGAAGATGAGACAAATTTAGCCGCCAAACAAAAGAGAGTTGCTGAGAGAGTCGATGTGAGGCAAAAGTAAAAATTACAAAAAAAAAACAAGAAATATATATATATCATTTGTGTATATGTATTTATAAGCCTTAAACGCAACGCTCCATAACGAGAAAGTTATAAATTTAGGTATTTTCATTTGGGCTCTGGGCTCTGGGCTCTGGGCTTTGAGGCTCGCATTCAACTGGTGGGGTCTGTAACTGTCATCGTTGGCTGCTTGTTTACACGCGCTTAAGCAACTTTTGTGGTAGCTGGAGGAGGGGTCGGAGGCGTGGAGAGGGCCTCAAGGTAACTAGCTTGAACTAAATACCAAATGAGACCCAATTCTCTAACAGGCAGTGAGTCTGCAATCTAAATTTACTTCTGTTGCCAATTTATCACAAAATGCGTGATCGCATTGACATGGCTATTACCCATGTATATTAACTGTAACCGTTTATAGACTTGAAAAAATACCAAAAATTAAACATATAAAAATATTTATTAAACAAATGGAATGCTTATAAAGGAATATTAAATAAACTCATTAAATGAAAAAACTAATAAAGCTTATGTGCTGATCGACGCTTTACTGTGCCTCAACTTTATACTGAGTTCATAAAAATAGTAGTGCTGCACCACACAAAAGTTGAACCAATTGAAACGGTTTTATTCTCCTGAAAACTTAGGGTAGGGATAAGAAGATAGGGATAAAGCTACAGAGTTCATAAAAAAGCAGTGCTTTATAACAATAAGGATAAGGATGAGGATAAGCTAAGAATAAGGCTAAGAATGCCTTCTTTTTGTTTAGACTAGAATGCAAAACGAAATGCGAAAAAATATCGTTACTTTCCGTCTGAATTAATTTGTTTTTAGATATGAGAGAGTTGTATATCTGAAGCCCGAAACTCTGAATGTTTATTTTAATTTAAATTATTTGCTTTGGCTAATTTTAAATATCATTTC